GGGAGAGAGAGAGAGACTAAAGTGACAGTGGCATCCTCTGTACAGCTGACCACTCTCAGGTTTAACTGTGACAGTCTGAGGTTGAACTGAGAATTCCTAGAGCTTCAGCACAGGAGTCCTGCAAGGAGTTTGACTCAGATAACTTCCTCAGATTCTCTGTGAATTGGCTGAGGCAGGAGCATGAACATGGGCTTGAATGGATTGTAAACACACTCCCAAGCACTGGCAGAACACACTATGGACATAAGTTTCAGGACAGAGCCACCCTGGATGCAGACACCGTCTCCGACACAGACTCCTTGGAGCACAGCAGCTTACATCTGGGGACTCTGCCGTCTATTGCTGTGCAAGGCACAGTGTCAGCACACATCTGAGGTGTGTCAGAAAGGAGCAAATGTGTCTGGAGGAGCAAGAAGCCACCTTGGGCCTGAGAGGGCAGGGAAGAGTAACCAGGAGCCTTGCTCAAAACTTGTGGTTAAGGACTGAGGGAAGGAACACCAGGACTAACAATTCTCTTTGCATAAGGAGTTTTCCCAGTCACCTTGCATGTAAGAGTCAGAGAGCAGAAGTTTTACATTAATGAACTTGTTCCACATATTTCTGTGCTGATGGTAATGTGAGCACATGTTTTCAACATTGTTGGGTCAGTTTCCTGGGTTGAAATGTTTGATCATATATTACATCAGTGTCTAATTCCTAGGAGATGACCAACTTTGCTACTGAATTACTATTAACAAAATTCCTTCAACAACCCAGTTTGTCTTCATGATATTTGAGGGGTGGGTCCAAAGATAACCATTTATCCTGATTTCACATGCATTGTATTTCCTAGTCCTTATACCCTGCCCTATAATTACAAGCCTGTCACAGAACACTGACTCACAGTGACACAAGGCCGTCTCCTTCACTCTTTGGAACACAGGAATGTCACAGTCATCCTCCTTGCTTTACTTAAGATGTCTTTAGTAATTACAGATGCTGATTCATGAAATTTTTCAGGATGAATGAGTTGCACAGGTTGTTTATGACTTCTGCCAGAGGATATTCTAGAGATCTCCAGAGACATATCCAAACTGTTTTTCCCTGCACCTGAGATATCTGACCAGTGAGGAAACAATGATATATCAATCTGTGAGTGAATCAGAGTGGGAAGATCAGAACCAGGTTCCAGATACAAGTCTCTTTGCAAAGGGTGTCAGGAATAGTGCAGATGGTGCTCAGGCCCTTCAGTTTTGTTCAGAAGCATCAACTACAGCACAGTGACAGAAAGAATTATTGGATGTTAATGATCAATAAAAACAGGCTGAAATCAGTGGAGAAGGATGAAATAATCCACAGAGTAAAGAGTGAGTGAGAATGCCAGAAATCAATGTGTGCATGTATTTTACAGAAACTCTTTCCCATTTTCACACACATTGCACCAGCTCAGGCCATATTGTGATCCTCACATTAGTTAAACTTAGGAGAAAAAGCTCATGTCATCTTTTGTGATGTCACTAAATCTAGACTTTGTGAATGAATTCAGTGGTGGTAGGAAAATATCTTTGTAAATCCATACAGATTAATCAGTCCAAACACATTGCCACCCATGATAGTCACTAGCAGCCCACCATACTGGAGTAGGAAGCACACCATTATGTACATTACCCAGGACAACAGAGATGCTGAAAGCCAAAGGAAGCACCTCCTGTATCTTGAATTTGAGGGATAACTGTTCCTCTTCCGTGAGAAGAGAATATTATCCTGAGGGTTTTAATCAGTGTTCTGACAGTCCACAGGGCATCTTATCCATTCTGTTCAGTAATAGAAGAGAAGATACGCATCAGACTGGTCCCAACTTCTTTCATTTTTCAATAATAGGTGCATCTGATTCATGACCTGATATTAGAGGAAAATATACATGAATAGCCTAAATTTATGTATTATGTAATTTTGTATTAATG